AGAGGGTGGGGTTTGAGGAGGGGTGGGACCTCAGACAGGTACAATGCCATAGACTCCACCCTCCGAACCAGCCATTCCCTCATGGGGATCCATTGTTGCCAATCTCCAGGGGAGGGCTGGAGATCACTCAGAATTACAACTCCTCTTCAGATGGTAGAGATCAGTTCCCCTGGAGAAAACGGTAAGCTCTGTGTCATTATACCCTGCTGAAGTCACCACAGCAAATTGACGCTGAGTGCCCAAGGCAAGGGCACCTGCCCAGAGCCTCTTCCTAGAGTTCATTGTTAGATCACTCAGAATTACAACTCCTCTTCAGATGGTAGAGATCAGTTCCCCTGGAGAAAACGGTAAGCTCTGTGTCATTATACCCTGCTGAAGTCACCACAGCAAATTGACGCTGAGTGCCCAAGGCAAGGGCACCTGCCCGGAGCCTCTTCCTAGAGTTCATTGTATTTATTTCTACAACGGGCCTTATTCCTAGTTTAAGTATAAATCAAAAGGAGGTGTTTCTTATTACAAAAATAACTGTATCGCAATACAGAAGCAGTTAAAATTTTATCTGTACAATAAATAAAATATAAATAGGTTTATAGAATTAATGGAAGGGCATGAATATATGAGCCAGAAAAGCTCCAAATATTATACGAAATGTTTGCCATATGTTGAGGTATTACTTTTCTCAATTTAAAATTGTATTTACATGCTAACAAAATACAATTAAAAAAAGAAAAGTGACCTTTGAGCCAAAAGTTAATTAAACAGATGAAAGACCTGGCAATAACAAATATGTTTATGATCCATAATTAATGATTTATGGAGTGAATCAGGAGATAAGTACATAATAAATTTTAAAATAAAAGCCTCGTGCACATCATAAAACAACAAAGCAAAAGGAATCAGCAATTTGGCACATTTAGTCTTGCTATAAAGTTTGTGCATGCTTTCCTACCAGTTTATACTTGTTTGTGCATGCTTTCCTACCAGTTTTCCTACTTGTTTATAAACACTAAAAATGTGCACAGAGCAAAAAGGCTTGTAGACACTTTACTTAATCCTGAGGTCCCAACCTTGCTGAATCTGTGGGCAGTTTTGGAATGCTGAGAAATGGTGATAGGTGCCACAATAAAATGGCTGCCATGGAGGGGTAGTAGGACCAATCACATGAAGTTGAGAGGTCCCACAAAATGTTAGCGAGTTCCAAGCCAAGCACTGTTCTACAGTGGAGACAGCTGTTTCCAAATGAGTGCTCCCTGGATGCTTCCTATTCAATGAAGCAGAGGAAAGCCAGGTTTGGCTCTTTGCTCTGAGAAACAAATTCTCTGAGGAAAAGGAAACTGGGCACAAGAAATATCCAGGTACCCACTGGATCTTAGGAAAAACTTTTACAGTCAGAGTTGTGCAACAGTGGAATCAGCTGCCTAGGGAGGTGGTGAGCTCCCCCCTCACAGCCAGTCTTTAAGCAGCAGCTGGACAAACACTTGTCAGGGATACTCTAGGCTGATCCTGCATTGAGCAAGGGGTTGGACTAGATGGCT